AAACCAATCAAATGTTTGGAGAAAAAGATTGAAGTAAGATAATGGTGACTTACCAAAGACGCAAGCAACAAGTGACGCCAGGGCAAGACGCCGCATCCTGATGACAGGCTCGGTTACTAACTTCCGATAAAATTTATTCCGGTTTGGTTTCCTACTGGGTTTGAAATCCAACGTATAAAATGTTTCAAAATGTAGATATTTCACCACCAGACAACACGTTTTGCCGGGTACATTCAACGCACTAATCATAGGACTAACGAGTGCAGTTCAGCATAACGCCCGGGCTGGAGCTCAGGCAGGCTCATTGATGCACGGTCATTGGCTAATAAGATTAATATTAACGCTAATGCATATTCATGGCACATGCACAGGAGCCTTGCGATGAGGGAGACCTTGGGGAAGACTAGGCTGGTTCCCGCTTGCGTAATATGGCGACCTGTAGCTAGTTCCCATTTAACTGTGACGTTGTTCGATGAGGAGGCGCTGGCTGGGGGTGACGACGGTGTGCTGGATGAAGGAAGCGTTGTTGCGGAGATGCGGTTTGGTCATTAGGGATTGGGTGTGTTTGATATCTCTTTTGGAAACTGGACTAGCATAATCTCTTTTATTGTTTCCATTTTCCCTTAGACTAAGACATCGCGGTGTGCTTGGTTTGCGAGACGTGGAAGTTTCTGGTGTTGAAGACTGGATTCTCGGTGGAAGGCACTGGTAAGCAGGTGTTGGGTGCTCTATTTAAGACCGCTTGGAGTCTGGGTGCTGTTAATTAAAGGCGATGGTAATTATCAGCACTCAGACTCCAAACGCTCTTAAACAGAGTGATTAATACCGACCAAGCACATATATCGATTCCCATTCATAAATACCTTTCCGCTCAAAGAAATCTAAAATGTTCGGTCAAAAAACCCGGTTATTATTTTGTTCAGCAAGTTCACTTCATGTTTTGTAAAACACCCCTTAAGCGTACTGCGCGATGTCGCGCAGAATGCACATAAGGCGTTCCCATGCATCCCCTGGATATATTTTTCTAACCTACTTTTTTGTAATCCTTATGGTGTCTAGTGAATGAATTTTGATGTTCCCAAGATCAAATATTGTCCCATGGGCTTCATTTGGCGGCCATCTTTGCAGCTACCTTGGCTCTCGACAAAAAAAATCGATTATTGACATAAGATTTGAGCCAGGCATCATAGGAAGACATTCTTTACCTCGGGTTTCAGCTGCTGCCTTTCAGAAGGCCATAGGAGTGGTATAAAGGCTAGTAGATTAAACAGAAAACTATCAGGAGTGGAGCCTCTAAGGCGGTTGGTGGTAATACAAACTATTCCCTCGTAGCTAGCAAAGCGAAGTTCATACCAAAAAAGCCTCACCACCCCAAGACTATGGGTCACCTACCGCGAATTGTCACCTTCTGCATCAACAACCCAGCGAGGACTCAGCAGTTTGACAGTCTTAGAGAGGCTCTGGCATAACCTACAGGCGGTGATAACAAAGTGGAATCCAAGTGGTCCAACCTTCGTGATGATCTACAATCTTACCACTTCTTCCTACGGAAAAAGAGAACGTAGGAATGCTGACTGGTACGAGCTGGGAAGAAAAAGAAACAGTGACAAAAGCCAAGAAAAGAGCTCTCCTTGCCCACAAGAAGGATCCCAGTCCCAGCACATAACATATGCTCCAAGGCCAGGGCCGCAAGAGACCAGTTATGCAAGAAGGCTGTATGAGGGCATCAAGAAGGCAATATGACCGAATATCTGGATAACGACACTGGTGCAGTCCAAGACAGGAGAAGTTACCACCGATCCAGCTGATGCAAGATGCAAGTGTACCAGTCCTGTGTCCTCGTACACTCTTTGAACGGTTGTGAAGCCTGGACAACCCATGCTGGTCAGGAGAAGAGACTAAAGAGGTTCCAACTCCGATGCCTCAGACGTATCCTCTGCATAAGCTGGCAGGATCGAGTGACAAACATGAAGGTTTTAGAGCGTGCTGGTATCCCGAGCATATTTGCTCTTCTCAGCATGAGACGTCTTAGATGGCATGGGCCATGTCAAGAGGATGGACTTGGGTCGGCTCCTGAAAGGATCTCCTTCATGGAGAACTTGCTGAATATACCATATTATTATATCATTACGTAGTGACGCCATCATAGTAGTAATATTCCAGTGGAAAATTATAATAGACTAAAATGTCTGTAATTGTAACGGGTACACATTACGAGGTATGAGTACACAAAGCAAAAGTGAAGAGAAAATTGTTCTCATTTTCGAGCGACACGACAAGCTAGAGAAATGATAATCAATGACATTTCACCGTCATACTTGAACGTCTAGTCGTCATCTTCACGAAACTCATCATAATCAATTTGTTGACGCTCTTCAACTATTGTTCCTCCGCCTTCTCAACAGTTTTCTGCAGCAAGTCAATGAGTGATGGAGAATGATAGGTCCTCATCACCACACTGGCATTATCCAACACCACACTGAAACTATGCTATGATTGTTGGTTCATTATATCACCATTCCAGCTAATACTACAAGATTAAGGCTACATCTTAATTTGACTTCCTATGGTGCCTAGCTCAAAGGCCATGTAAAATAACAAATTTTCGAAATGTAAGATCACGATGGCCGCCAAATCATGAAATCATGCTTTCGATCGATTCCGCTCGCCCAAATTACCCCTAAAAACATGTAAATTGTTCTCCCCATGATGCCTTGTGCAAAGTTACTTCATGTATTAATCTAGGTCCTTCATATGCCAGTTTTTCCCCTTAGCATGTATCTTTTGCGTGATTAGTTTGTTCTTAAGTTTTAATGCTAATGTGCCTGTATATTCATTATTTTATTATTAATAATTTTAGTGTAACAATATGTAATTTTTAAAGGTTTTTCATATTCGTAATTAAGTTTTTGATTTTTTTATTTGGTTTTTGTTAATGATTGTAAAGCGCCTTGAACGTCAATTTGAAGGATTTGGCGCTATATTAGAATATAATTATTAATATTATTATGTACACAAGATGGCCGCAAACATGGCCGCCATATTATAAACGTAACACTTTCAATTGATTCCTCACACCCAAACTAACCTAAAAAACGTGTTCATTTGTCTTCCTGTGATGCCTTGGTCAAAAGTTAGGTCAATAATAGACTTTCATCGAAATCCAACAAGGCCGCCAAGATGGCCGCCAAATGAACCCGATGGGACAATATTTGATCTTGGGAACATCAAAATTCAATCGCTAGTCAACTTAAGGATTACAAAAAAGTAGGTTAGAAAAATATATATCCAGGGGGTCCATGGGAACCCTATCTTCCGACTAGACCAATTGGGCGTATCAAAATATGGTGCGGAAGCAAAGGAACTTTCTGGCGAATCTTATCAGTGAAGGAAAACATCTTGACAGTATGAGCGCTTTGAGCGCCCTCTAGTGAACGAAAGAGATCTACGCCTATGACGGTGTCACATGAAAATCCAACTCGTATGAAAATCGCACTTGACAGGTCACTTTCCCCAAACAATCCTAAAAAAAATAGCATATTATGGTACTCACGCGTGCGCAATACTACCAATGAATCCACAAGGCATGGAGTCGGATATTCACACTATAACGGCACTCCTCTAACTTGAAAACGTTACTACCCGCAACACCTATGTGCATGTCACCGGTTCCATAGCCACTTCCTCACAAGGAAATGACCACTGTTGACCACCGTATGTACGAGTGATCGGACGTTTGATCTTATATCCACAACAACCTCAATGACTGCTGGTTTTCAACAAGGAAGTGAATGACTTATCAATTGCATTGCGTGAGTGTGTCTGAAGTACGTGGCGCAAGCGCAACAGTTCAGGTATTTTGATTTTTTTCATAAATTATCACTGGGTGACCACATGACTGACCACTTAATCACTTCCTATGAGGTTAAGGTCCATATATGTATTTGACCAAACTTGACATTAAGTTATCTTTAATTGTGGAGGCTTGTAAATTTAAAGAAAATGACCACTAGTAACCACTATGTAACCGTTGACCCAAATCGTCACCGACACCACGATCGTAACACTCCACGTGTTAAACCATATTTTTTTCAATTATCTGGGGTTTTTTTTCTTACACTTTTAAACATTATTCATCAAGGCCCACCATTGCACGAAGTTTCAAAGCTCCAAGGGCTTTACTTTAATAATTACGCTAATTATCCATGCACGTTTACACGAAGTAACACTCTCCTTGTATGAGAGGGCGCGCGCTGACCCGAAGTAACTTTCACCTAGTGTTATAAGCCTAATACATTGAAGCGTACTACTTTGTGAAAACAAACATTTAGAGATTCGCAGCTTTTTTCGGTTCAATGAACTAACACTCTCCTTTTTTCTCTTCTTTCTTGTTGATTTAATAAACAAACGGGTGAAAACTGCAGATTAAATAAATTCAATACATCAAGTGTCCTCAACGAGAAACCAAACTGAAAATACTCTGCAGTTTCGACGCAAAGTGTTGTCCTAGAAGGCATTCAACTTTAGATGCCGTTTTACCGATTGCTAGTTTTCACTGGTATGTACTTCGGTGTTACTTCGTGGTGTCGCTGACGCAATGCTTTTCAGCATCTCGGGTAGGAGTTCGGTCGAGAAAGATCCTTTCCAAATTTGGCTGCAATCGGCAAATGCATTTGGCAGATAGCATTTTAAAGGCTCATTAGGAGAAAGAAAGGTCAGGTTTGGTCGGGTCGGGTCAGGTCTGGCTTATTAAAGGCTAAATCACAAGAGACAGTTAGTCCGGTCCAGTCGGTCGGTCGGTCAGTGCGTGCCTTTGTGCTAGATAAGTGCTAAGAAGAGCACTGTCACTAGTCTGGCCCTCTGAAACCAGCACAAATGTAGTCTTGAAATATACACGAAAGGCCGTGAGATACTTTAAGAGATCACTAACAGTAATAAATGATATCTAGAGACAACACAACACTGCAGGTGCACGCTTACACTTTATCTTAAGTGCTTTTATTAAATGAGAAAAGATATGCCGAACTTTCTCTATCATGTCTCCTACTCCATATATATTTAATTTAATGGGCTTGAAGGTAATGGCCAAAATTTGCAGAAGAAAATGGGGTTTTTGTTACCGATTCAAGAAACAGTAATACAATAAATCTGAGGCAGGTTGTTTATAAAAAAATATATAAAAAAACTTTGAAATTATGCGCAGTGGATATAATGCTTTTGAGAAAACTGTGACAATGCATATTCAATTTCTCATGCACAAAGCATGTTTTTGTTGACAGTTTGATGGTTTGATCCTAACCATCCCGAAGAAATTATGGTAAATTCCTCTTGCATGGAAAAATACAACATACTGGGCGCAAACGATTGCACAGGATGCTTAAACATTGTATTCATTTTACAATAAAGTGGGATATTTCAAAATATTTTGACAGTTTAATGTTTCAATGTTTGCAAATTGTGTCGATTACATTTAACCTCTTCATATTTTAAAGGAAAACAAGAAAAAGAAAAAAAAGACAGAAAAGAAAACAGTTTGCTGAAAAAAATATAGCCAGTTCATACTGTTTTTTTTGTTATCTATTTCCACCAGGTACTGAACTACATGTATATGCTTAACCATTGTTGAAAAGGACAATTAAGAAAGACTAATAATCTATATAATTATGCCCATTTCTATATTAAGAAAATTAATATATTATACCAGGTTTGCTAATATAATAAAGTAAGCTATATTGGATATTTCAAAAGTATCATGCAAGATTTATTGGAATTGTACAGTGTTGTAGAACAAAATAGTTTGCAGTTCATGAATAATATTCCTTCCATTGGTTTACGAAGCGATTTTGAGTGGGTAAACTCTTTTGTATTGACTCAAATTTACCCACTTCAAATAGCGCCCTCTTATTGTGTCCGCAATACTTCAACAATAGTTTGTTACGATTGAAGTAATTATTATCGAAATGTTACGTGCACTTGCATCTGGGGATTGTCTTCTGGGTCCAAGAAAATCCCAACAAATGTCTGACATTTCCAGAGAAAATGTTGAAAACGCCCGTTTGTCTACATTTGGCGCGTCAGCGATTTTTGCCTCGCCTTTAAGTATTTCTAGCAGTGATAAAAACCATTTGAACATGCAAAAATGATATTACATATGTAAATACATGCTATTGTACCTACTGATTGTGCCACTAAGAATCTAAAAAAAAATATGGAAAAAAAAAATTAAGTTTCTGTTAACCATCAGTCTTCATCCAACCGTTTTCTTTTGCCGTCGTCAATGTAGAATGGGAAACCCCTGCCTCTAATGCTCGTTGGAAATTTGACAATTCAAACTGTGAACAAGTCTTGTGTCATTAATCTTGGTTTTTTGTTGGATTTGGTTTGGTTCCGTGTCCTTGAATCGTTGCCCTCACTCAGAATGAAGGAGGCAGGAACGTGGGGGGGATCTAGAAAGCACATGAAGTGCACATTACTTTTTTTGGGTGCATGTTGACTTTTCAACTTGTTGAATTTTCAACATAACAACTTGTTGAGTTTTCAGCTTAGTGGATTACATTTTGAGAGGGGGAAGAAGAAAAAATACAAAATTGTTGTGCTCACTTTCAATTATTGTTTTCTTCCGAATGATACCATTATTTTCAGTCAGGGAATTTGTTACCAGTTCTATTTTCATTTTTGAGTGAGGATTTCTTGTTAAATCGGTAGGTTTGTTTCTGGGTAACTATAAATGTTCCTATGTGCCTTTATGTTTTGACTGAAACATTCTTAAAAAGTATACACCAGTGACATATCTATGACATACTAATCCCCCGCTCCAGTTTGTCAAATTTCCACCAAGTACTACAGCTAGGTTTTCCCAAGCCAACAACGACGGAATTACTCATGACTTTTGCAGCCGAGGATCTCAAAGCGCATACTGCAGTGCATGCTCCACTGAGTAGGCAGGATACGCAGGAACCTGGCATGGAAGGCCTTCGGGAAAGTGGTGGTCACGTGGGTGTTTCTGTCCGAGTTTCCAGGGAACTGTGGAGTAAACAAAATGGATAGGATTTACAAAATCAAAGTTGGGAGGTGTTCAATTAAAACCCTAACCGATTTTTTTCTGGACATTTTTGTTTGACTTAAGGCCAAATTTAAATAGGTTGGTAAAAAATGTGCAGCTTCTGCAGGACCACAAATTTACTTATATTAAATAGCAAAAATTGCCTTGACGCCTTTTTTTTTTTCATGGGGGGGGGTTTCAGTTGCATAGATATTGGGAAACATACGGTATTGGGGAACATCGGGTAGACCCCCTACGCAAAAAGCAAAAGCTGTGATATATGTAAAACCTAAATCAACCAAAACAAGCATGAAAATAAAATGCACCGTGAAAAAAATAACAAAAGTTGGAATATATCTTTCCAAAAAGCAAGAAATATCAAAAGTGTGTATTAACCGATGAAAGTTTTGATATCCTACATTGTTGTTTGGCTTCATAAATGCATACTCAAGATAATTATGCAATACGTACAACACACATGATCCACCCCACCCGAAAACCCCACGAGGGGCAAGAGCACACACTCAACAAAAATGGTGATTTAAAGGTCCATTTTTATTTTGAAAACGCAGTCGTATTGAATACTTAGCTTCAGTATATTTTGGTGTCGGTGCCGGTCGGCCGTCAGAGGGCGCCAGCACGGCACCGCGGTGGAGCTATGGGTGGAGCCGTGCAGTGGAGCCCCTGCTGGTGAGCCGGGAGACCCGTTGCCGGGCGGCGCCGACTCAGTAGGGATTTTCCAGATAATGGCGTTGTGTGAGAGTTGTAAAAAGAAGAGAGTCTCGTGTCAAACTTGTGTTAAAATAAACGACCTAGAGCCAGAAGAACCCTGAGAAATAATGCCAGTGTATTCCTTCGCCTCGGCCAACGTTACATTGGTGGCAGCGGCGGCACGCCTGACGGAGGAAAAAAACAGGTAAAACTTCGAGTGTTTTTTTTTCGTCATGAATACACCAGGTCGAGTTAGTCTGGCGTCCGACTCGCCACACGGCGGGGACGCAGGCTGGATCAGGATCTCGCAGAGTGTAGGCCAGCCTAGTGAAATGTCAAGCAAACGTTCATTACGGGTGGGCGAATTAGTGTCCTTTTTCATTGATAGTCAGGGGAGTTTTGCCCGGAAAAGGGGGGTGGTTGCTGGGTCTCTGGGGACCGAATCTTTCGTTGGGGAAAATGTGGAGGGTAATGGAGCGGGTATAATAGGCCAGAGCGGGCGCTTCAGTCACATACCATGCATTGCCCTCACCGACACTGCGCATGCGCAGTCTCCCGGGGATCCCCCCCCCCTCCGTGCCGTAGACGGCGGCGCGACAGACGTTTCGTTCCATTCGGAATGCTGCCGAGTCGAAACTGCCGATGCGGCTGGGACAGGGCTTCGCCTAGGGACATCCCACAATCTTCTCGCCAGTACGCCTAATGCCAGGCCCCTTGAGGAACCACCCCGTGCAGTAGTCGGCAGCGCGACTGACGGTCTGTTCCATTCGGAACTTTGCTCAGTTGCGCCGATCGTTGAGGCAGGAATGGAGCTCCGACCAGAGACACCCCACATATTTTACACCAACACAACAAATGCCAGGGCCCACGAGAGGCTGCCCCCCGCTGTGAGCGGAAACGTAACGGGCGCGACCTCTTTTGTGGGGCGCCCCAAGCTGAATTTGATCATGCACCGGGGGCAGGAAACCGTCCGATTACACCCCAAGCTACGCACTCTGGAATACCAGAAATCGCTTTTCGGGTTGTTAAAACAGGGCCGACGCAACTGCTCTGCACGGGAACCTATGGAGCGTAGCCGGCACAGTTGCTCCGTACACGGGTCAAGGGAGCGGAGCCGAGGGATTTGCTCCGCACGGGAGTCAATGGAGCGGAGCCTATGGAGTTGCTCCGCACGGAAGTCAATGGAGCGGAGCCTATGGAGTTGCTCCGCAAGGAAATAAATGGAGCGGAGCCGATAGAGTTGCTCCGCACGGGAGTCTATGAAATGGAGCCGAGAGAGTTGCTCCGCACACGATTCAATGGAGCGGAGCCGATGGAGTTGCTCCACATGGGAGTCAATGGAGCGGAGCCGATAGGGTTGCTCCGCACAGGAGTCTATGGAGCGGAGCTGATGGAGTTGCTCCACACGGGAGTCAATGGAGCGGAGCCGATAGAGTTGCGCCGCACGGGAGTCTATGGAGCGGAGTTAGGCCGAAAATGCAAAATTACAACCCAAGCTACGCACTCTGGAATACCAGAAATCGCTTTTCGGGTTGTTAAAACAGGGCCGACGCAACTGCTCTGCACGGGAGCCTATGGAGCGTAGCCGGCACAGTTGCTCCGTACACGGGTCAAGGGAGCGGAGCAGAGGGATTTGCTCCGCACGGGAGTCAATGGAGCGGAGCCTATGGAGTTGCTCCGCACGGAAGTCAATGGAGCGGAGCCTATGGAGTTGCTCCGCAAGGAAATAAATGGAGCGGAGCCGATAGAGTTGCTCCGCACGGGAGTCTATGAAATGGAGCCGAGAGAGTTGCTCCGCACACGATTCAATGGAGCGGAGCCGATGGAGTTGCTCCACACGGGAGTCAATGGAGCGGAGCCGATAGGGTTGCTCCGCACAGGAGTCTATGGAGCGGAGCTGATGGAGTTGCTCCACACGGGAGTCAATGGAGCGGAGCCTATGGAGTTGCTCCGCACGGGAGTCAATGGATCGGGGCCGATAGAGTTGCCCCGCACGGGAGTCTATGGAATGGAGCCGAGGAAGTTGCTCCGCACTCGATTCAATGGAGCGGAGCCGATGGAGTTGCTCCACACGGGAGTCAATGGAGCGGAGCCGATAGAGTTGCGCCGCACGGGAGTCTATGGAGCGGAGTAAGGCCGAAAATGCAATGTCCCTTGCATCCCATCTAAGGGGGACGGCCTCAATTGCAGCGCCACATTTTCGCGAGGAGAGCAACGACGTTGACTGAGGCGGCCAACTTTGCGACCGAGTTGGAGGCATTTCTTGAGTCGCAGGCACAACTTCGAAAAGGGAAACCGGGATCTAAAGACGTTTAGACAGTAGAACAGCCTCCCCACAACTCAGCTGTAGGAAGCGCACCAGCTCCCGGGGCTTGGAACACACTGAGTACTCTCCCCCAAGTGCAGTGTGATGGATGTCACGAACTCGGACACATTCGACTCAACTCTCTTCACCAGAAGCGAAGGTCAGCCCCCGACCGACAACGAGAACTGACAGAAGAGAAGTTGGAGGGACTGCTGGTGGGAGCTGTCGATAGTACTAGACAAGACGAGACCATAGATGCGGGCGGGCTCTTGGGAGACTGGGACCACGAACAACTGAACCAAGAACAACACAATGACCCCAAGCTGGGCAGGGTCATGCAGTGGCTGGAAGAGGGAGTCCCAAGGCCTAGCTGGACGGACGTCTCGGCGCTGGATGAGAGCACGAAGTTTTGGTGAGCCAAGTGGGAGACATTGCGACTGTCAACGTGCTCATAACCGGCGCAAGGAGCCGGTTATGAGCCGGAGCAGCCGGTGTGGTTGTACACCCCCATGTTGAGGAGGATCAATGACGTCACGACCAGATAAAGAGGTCTCCACGGGCAAAAGCGAAAGTGGTGCACTACAACCGACTAAAGCCATACCTGGGCGATGCCAAGGTGGATTGGTGGAAACGTGCAGCTCAGAGACCTCTGGGGAGAAGGATCAAACCCCGGAGGCAGGACTACCAACAACCACTACTGCGGACGGGGGTGACCAGCGTTCTAAAGAGGACCCACCTCCGGCTCCGAGGGGGCAGGAGACACCACTGCTAGAGACGACGACGACGGTTGCCCCTTGTGAGCGGAGTGATACAGTAGCAAGATCCCTGGCAGTGGCCAGTAAGACCGGGGAGGGAAAGAATGAGTGGGCACCTTTCCCACTGTTAGAGCCAGTCCCTAGTACAGTCACCCGGGGTGGGCGAAATAAAAATTGTTCGGCCAAGCCGTTATTGCCTACAACTGACTGAATCTCCTCTCTCTCCTTCTCCTTGCAGGAAGGCCCCGGGTTGCCATAACTGCAGAAGGACCTTCAGCAGGAGGAACAATTTGCGGAGACATGTACGGACGACCTGCGAGGTGTTGTACCCAGACCCTCCCTAGACATGCGCCAATGGATGCGGCGTCCGTTTTTTACCGACGTGATATACAAGAGAGGCACCACCGCTTCTGCCAGGGGGTCCTCTTGGGCATGGTCGGTGTGGGAGCGGATGTATTGGACGTCCACGCAAGCGACGGGGAGCTAGAGGGTGATCCAAACCCTGCGGAGCGGTCACCCTCTCCACCTCACGTCTCTCGACAGAGGACCCCCGACTCGCCGTCTTCATAACGGGACCGCGGTACTGCAGGACGACCACCGTCGTCACCAATTGTATAAACGTGTGGGCGCTTCCCGGACCGTAGTCTGCCTGATTGTCCGGTTGCGATGCTCGCCGCCTTGTTCGGGGACTAACAAGGATCCTCGGAGGGGGCGGTGTGGCGTTGGTGCCGGTCGGCCGGCAGAGGTCGCCAGCACGGCACCGACTCGGTAGGATTTTTTCAGATAATCACGTTGTTGTGTGAGAGTTGTAAAAAGAAGAGAGTCTCGTGTCAAACCTGTTTTGAAATAAACGACCTAGAGTCGGAAGAACCCTGAGAAATAATGCCTGTGTATTCCTTCGCCTGTCGTGCGACAACCCAGGCTTCAGTCAACGTTACAATATTGATAAACAGGCCATATTATGGCCATAAAATACTCCAGGGATGAGTTATGCCACACAATACAAAATGTCAATCATCATGAAAATGCCCACTACCGACTCCTGTCGTACAAAAGTACAAGTAGGAGTGATGTTTGGCGGACTTTAAAGTTGCACACACATTAGCATTTATTTGATTGCAATACCTTACATCAACAATAAGGATCACAAAACATCAACCATGCTCTGTTTGCTTTTATAATTGAAGAGTCGTCATGGGAGAATGGTATAGCTCAACCAAGCCTGACAAACACAAGTCATGATGTGGCATGTTTATCAATATAATGAAACTAAGTATTCCATACTTGTAACTGTTCATTTTTAATGCTGACATGACCTTCACCCAAGCGTTTTGAAATAAAAATTGACATTAAAAGCACGATTTTCGTTTCAAAACTTGCCCCCTCCTAGGGCTTTAGGGTGGGTTAGATCCTGTGTGTTGTATGCACAATTGCCTAAATTATGCATCTATCAAGCCTTAAGCCCAGACATCAAAACTTTCACCGACAAATATACATTTAATTATTTGGAGCCTTTTCAGTGGCATATTCAAAACGTTTGTCCATGACTGTCGAATTAATGCAAAATCAGTAGTTGAAAATTATTTTTATAGATTTATACAACATCAAAATGGATACTTAAAGCCAACGTGATCTTATTCCGTGTCTCAGTAATATGCTTACATGAAGTGGAATACGTTTGCATTCAGGTTGCGAGAAATTTAATCCAAATGTGGATGAGATTAAATTAACAACATCATGTTTCACTTCTTGACTCTGTGGCAGCACTGGACACTATCTGCCCATTGTATTGAAACGACACTGGCATCGCTTCACAAAATACCTCTCGTTGATATTCCCTTCTGTCTAGAATCTATATAGCCACAATAAACGACCGTGGATCGTATTTACAATCGGCTTGCGAATGTTTTATAACAGGTCCTCTTTTTCTGTCGTTCTTGGCCTTTTCTAGCAAAGGGCATTTCGTCTTTCAAGTGCATTTTCATCGCATTTCTAATATCTACGAACGCCTACGTGATCCAATTATTATTCATTAGGGTTCCGGTTTTGTTTGGCATCGAGCACTTTTTGGGGAGGGGTGGGTGGGGAGGGGGTGGGGGTTAGGGGCTGGAAAGGGTGCGGCAGACTGCTTGAACAAAACCTAGGGGACATTTCTGGGACTAGGCCTTCACTGCATCTCTTTGGATTTGCAGTTACTCACCACCCATTTCCCCGGAGATGACACTTCTAAACAAACTTTCATTTTGACTGTTACAGGATAATTTATCGGTTTCGGTTAGGCGATTGTGGCTGATAGTTTCTTTCATAGTTTCTTTCATGTCCATGGCACTTTAATATTTCTACAGGGGTTGTTGTATTTTCCACCAATTCACCCGTTTGACATTACTCCTCCCGACATCACAAACCCCAACAAATATACGCCCCAGCCGATCATGATCGGGAACATTAGCTTGTGTTTAAAGAATAGCAACATAAATATGGATATATCATCGACATTAACCTTTGACTCACATCTGCTGAGGCCCATACCTCATAAATGCTGTCGTTGCACCGCCCCAATTCACTCATTATGATTTTTTTATGTCCTTCATTTAACAGCAACGTAATTAAATACTGACCTTTGTCGGTGCACATTCTCCTTCCGCGGTGACGTCAGTCCATTCCTGGCCGTTGTCGCTATAGGCAACCTGGAACTCAGTCACCCATTGATCATGGTCGCCACGCCCCTGAGTGATAAGGCTAGTGATTATCACATTGCATCCTAAGTCGACTTGGATCCACGGATTCGGGTCACTATCTCCAGCACTAGACCAGGAAGAGGCTAGGCCGCCTACATAATGAGCAGATAATTCAGCTGTAAGCATAAAGTGAGTCTGAGCGAATGTGCTACAAGCATTGTACCTGGCAGCGGCCGTGCTTGCAGAAGTGAGATAATATTTCTAGGGGTAGCCTGGTAGGGACAGCCCTCACCGCCAAAAAAAAAATGAATAGCGCTTCCTAAAACCCCTTGAGGACGGGGAGTAATGGGGACATTCCTCCATACATGGAGCAAGTGACCCGCATGACTGCACAGCCTTTGTGTGGTAGCGGGACTGCACAAAAGCAGCAGCTGTAGAACTACCCATTGGCCGTAGGCTGCGGCATACCACAGCTGGCAACTGCATTCCAGTGAGGATTAGCAGCTGCGGCCATAACCGCTCTTTGAGGGGTTAAACTTGACTTTTTGTCGCCTCTGGTCACGTAAATCCTACCGTATCTTTTGAGTTGTCGTATACGGTTCATCCTATGTGATGGTTCGGCGTGAATGAACATAACATTTACCTTCAAAGTTAAGACGAGCCCTGTGGGGTGCGTGGTCGGCCCGGTTTCCCCAGAATGAGGAAGCTGTGATGCTTGCGTCTGGGATACGATGATCTTCCATTCCAAGGGGTCCAACCTCAGAGCAGTTCAAAACATCTGTGGCAGGTTTTGATAAATAATTTTTTTTCAGGGTCGGGCGTAGACTTGATGACAATTCGTTAGATAGTCGTATTTTTTTCCCATGAATTTTAGTCGAACTCTATCGTCGCGGCTGGTATAAGGCTATCGGCCGTGTTGCGACATATCTAACGACTTGACGATTTGTGTTCTCGCACCGTTATTCATATATGCAAGCAGCGCAATACATATGCAGTGCATTTTTGCGGTGAGATCCATAGAAATGAGGATTCATTCATTCCGTTACATGGGGAGTTTTTCTCAATATGTCAGGAACATGTTTGCAGATCTGGCGATGTTTTAAAGACCAATTCACTCAGCTTGGTCAATACGGGCGATTCACAATAGTGCGCCTCCAAGAGTTTGCAGCGCGTTGGCCAATCACAATGTGCGAAATCAGTCGACCTTTTCCAAACGCGAATTGGGTCGACCGATTTTGCGCATTGTCACTGGGCAACGCGTTGCAAACTCTTGGAGGCGCACTAATGTGAAACGATCGTATTGTATATAGAAATAAAATGATTGTGATATACTTGATTTATTTGAGTCGTGTATGCCCTGTAATGAATTCTGTAAAGTACAAACCCTCGATGTAATGAGAACAATCCTCCGTGGCGGTCTACAAAACGCTCTGGAATCTGAACCAATCAGAGTGCTCGCATAGAATTCGCTAGCGATTCAAAATGCTCCCATATGTTGTGTACAAAATTGAAAACGTATTCGCCAAGTCAGTAATTGAACGTCAATAGTCAGCATCATTTGGTCTGGGAACCAGGCTCCGCGCATTGCAGCAATAAAGGGCGTGCGTGGAGCCCGTAACCGGTACCGTACGCAAAACAATTACCGACTTAATTTGGCACCAATTCTAGGTCGGGCGGGGTATCATTAAGAATGTGACGGAGCACGAAGTGTATGTGTCAAATTCGATGCAACCACGGTATCTATAATGACTGAATAACACCGAGTCACCCACACTTTGCATACTGGCGAATCCTGATTGCTGATTGGTCAGTTGGACTTAGGCGCTGTTTTATGGCAGAGTGAATTTGTATAGGGGCTAGGCTACCGGGTGAGCTCAGATGGTATAAAAGCAGCTGCACGATGGGATTTTAGGCAGATGAGTCAAGTGATAATTTGGTGATTTGAACAAGTAATTGGGGTTTAAATAAAAAAATACTAGATTACAGGCCTGGCCATTGTTTATGATTTCCTACTCCGATCCCACTCATTCCACTGGCTCAATTTATTGCTAATAATAGACTTATGATCACCAAATGTCAGGGCCAAGGTCCAAGGGTAGATAAAAGGGCCTGAGAGAATTACAAATCTCAGGGATTACCCCTCCCTATACTCCCTTACCGCATCTCATTCAACAAATACTCCCTGGGATAAGGCCAGTTAATTGCCCAATTTTCTGATCAATCTTAATATTTTTTTTCTGTTGTAGTTTACCTTGGGACATCCGAAAATGGTGCTCTTAAGTTGCACTGCCGGTATTTTTGTCTTCCAGCTAAAAAAAACCTGTTATTTGTAAGCATATTTGTCGAAAAACAGATAAAATTATATTTTCGAACATTGCTCTGTTCACAATGGTCCCATCGTGACCTGTTTGCACTCGTTACCATCTTGAAAAGTTGGGTAAACAAGAAAAAATATGGTAAGTCCCAAAGTTATGGTTAGTCCCGAGCTCGTTAACAGTTTGACGGGTGGGGGCAGGGGGAGGGTTAGACTATCAATGGTATCTATATTCATCGCAAATTCCTAATATACATGCGCATTGATGTATATTATGTGCACATGGGAAGAAATATTTTAAAGGAACACCATTTAGGCAAAATACAAAGCACATGTAGGTACATTTGCAAAATTTTTTTTAGCCCTACGCACTGGGATAATATTTTTTCCCCCTGGGGCGTAACATGACCCCCCCCCTTTTCCCCCATGATTCTCCCTCCCCCATGCCCCACAATACCCCTCCCCCCCCCTTTCCGATTGTGTTCATAGAAAAGTGGATTTGTTTTTACACGTATTTCACTAATTACTTTTTTAGTGCAACCCGGGCATGTTGATTATACAGGTCCAACTTTACGACGTCTGGAAGCTACAGAAACCTTTTGAAATTGCTTTCAGTTCACACAACAAAATAAGCAAAATTAATAAAACCAGTGAATTGCAAATATATCATTTCTGTTAGTTTAGAATAACGGATGACAAACAAGTGGCATATAGGTGATAGCCCCTACGAACTGAGTTCCCCCAACGGTGGATGGGGGGGGGGGGGGGTTAACGAGGGACATGACCCCTCGCCAATTATTTATTTTCAGTAACTTCGCAAAAAGGCAGCTATTGGGTACACCACCCACAAAACTCAACAAAAGCAATTCATTTGCACACCCTTCCCATGGCTTTTTATATGAAACTTGGGGCGGAAAAATGTTGGACCCACTTGGGCCACGCCCCACCCCCGCAAAAAAAATATATGTTCTAGATCTGGCCTTGACCTCCCCCTTCCAAGAAATTGAGATAAGGAAATGCGAAAAGTCAACAACTTAATAAAAAAAAAGGGGGATCAGAAGTATAATACCCCCAGGTAGAGGGCATAACAATATAAGATCAGATCAGCAATGTCATTAATCCATGTACTGCAAAATTTCTAATTATGCCAACAAAAAATCTTAACAAAAAAAATAATAAATAATAATAATTCATTCAGTCCTATTAATTCATTTCCTAAAAGAATCCCAACCTATTTTTGACTGTTTGATAATACAATTTCAAAAGAATCCTTTTTAAATAAAGCTCATCCCCACAGTGGGCAAATTCCAAAGTGGATCGCTCTCGTAGACATATGTTAAGCCATGTTTAAGTTCAAACAAGCCTGCCAATTTTGTATAGGTTTGCCACGAAAATACACGATATTTGTCACAATCGGATCAAACCACTCGTATACACCACCCCTTTACACATTTAGGCCACGTCCACAAATACGGCGAAAAATATGACTTTTTAATGCTTGAATGTTTTATGTCATGTCCAATTTTATTTTCAAGGCATGGAAAAAGAAGGAAAATGAAAGTATAATACACTTCCTCTGAGTTTGTATTCCTTTCACCCCTTTTTAAAAAAATAAAGCTCCGCCCCCCAAAACGGCAGGTTTCAAGGTGGGTCCACCTCTTAAAATGATTCTCAGACCGTTTTGGATCTGCACGCAGTATTTCATGCTCTCATCACAAATTTGGGTACGGTTTGGGCAAAAATAATGGGCCTAAGGAGCTCCACTATTGACCAGGGTATATTCGTGTACATTTGTATACAGTATACTTATATATATGAAACATATATAAATCCGACTTTTTCCGTTCTAAGGCAAGGGCGGATCCGGGGGGGGGGGGGGAAGGGGGCCATACCCCCCCCCAAAAAAAAACACTAGAGGTTCGCATTTGTTGTTACAAACACAGAGTGGTCGGGCAAGCAATTTTTTTTTATAAAACACTGCCGAGTTAAGTTATGAATATGTTGATGTAAGAACAAAGGATCAAGAAATTAAATCCTTTCCATCACAATAAATTATTTTGTTTAAAATGCCTCTTTAACCGTTTGATACCGATTTTTATTGCACTTCCGGTAACACCGGAAGTAAAAGTTAAGTGGTTTTGTGTCCGAGAACAAGAAATGTTTCTCACGGCATAGTCTACAACCTCACAAAAAACACGAACACGATACTCTATTTAGTTCAAAAGATATAACGAAAACTATTTTGTCAAAATTTGTCCTTAAATCGCTAATAATTTGGTACCTGATGATGTCATGATGCCGTAACAAAATTCAAAACATCTTCGTAACATGGTACAAGTTCACACAAGGTTTTGTGATCATACCGTAAACCGTTCGGAAGAAATTTTGCTTTGTTTTTATTTCAGGCTAACGTCCTCATTTTGAATTCACCTAACTTTGACCTTCCGATAGACCCGGAGGTGAAGGTCAAGCGAGTTTATGTACACGACAAAAAATGTTGAGCAATTAATTAGAAGAATACAAACATCATTGATTATTTAGTTCAAGAGTTATAACTGAAAGTAATTGGTCACTTTTCCACCGAAAATCACCTTGTAATTTGACACCTGATGACGTAATCATGACGTCAGAGTAATATGTACCAATATAAGGGTCGATATATAATATGAGGGTCGATATATATTGAAAGTTACAAGTTCATACCATATACCGTTTAGAAGAAAACCTGCGGAGAAGTATTTGTCCAAAAAAAAGAGAAAAGAACTAGAGGTTCGCGTTTGTTGTTACAAACGCAGAGTGGTCCGGCAGGCATTTTTTTGTCTATAAACACTGCCGTGTTAAGTTATGAATATTTGAACAAAGGATCACGAAATTAAATCCTTTCCAGTACAATCAATTATTTGGTGGTAAAATTCAGTAAATATTTTATGTACACAACTTATTTCTGGCTTGATGACGTCATTATTCAAAAACGGGAAGTGCATACTGATTTAGTTCGGAGTGGATAAATGTTAATTGTGAAGTTAAATGACGTATGAAAGTATGAAAAATATACGTGTATTTATTCATAACAACTAACTTCCGGTTTGATGATGTCACAGTATTTGGAAACAAAAAGTGAACATCGTAATGGATATTGTTACTTGGGCTACGAAAATATACGACATGGATCGGATGATATAATTTAAAAGTAAATTTAAAATATGGTCGTTTTCAAATTCTCATAGAAGTAACTTCCGGTCTGATGACGTCATACTCTGAAACCTTGCCAAGTTATTTGTGGTTAATCAAAGAATATCAAGGAGCGATTTGGTAAAATTTGAACGGATGGTTTTCAAATAACTAGCGCAAACACTGTTTTATGTGCCGCTAGGGGGCGCCCTTTCGAAAGATGACGTCATCACACTTTTTTTTCTTGTCTGGCATTCCTCACTAAACACTATCATAATTTATAAGTGTGTAGTAAAATGCTTCCGCTTTTGAATTACATTCGGTTTTCGTTGCACTTCCGGTAATACCGGACGTGAAGGTCAAGCGGTTTTGTGTCCGGGGACAAGAAATGTTTCTCACGGCATAGTCTACAACCTCACGGAAAAACGAACACGATACTCTATTTAGTTCAAAATATATAGCGCAAACTATTTTGTAAGAATTTGCCGTAAAATCGCTTGTAATTGGATACCTGATGACGTCATGATGACGTAACAAAATTTATAACATCTTCGCATTATGTAACAAGTTCACATTAGGTTTCTGGATCAATCCGTCAACCGTTTGGAAGAAATTCTGCTTTGTTTTGATTTCAGGCTAAAGTGTTAATTTTGAATTCACCTAACTTTGACCTTCCGGTAGACCCGGAAGTAAAGGTCAAACGAGTTCACGTACACGACAAAAAATGTTTATCAATTTATGGTCTATCCGATTACAGAATACAACACTATTGATTATTTTGTGCAAGAATTATAGGTGAAAGTAATTGGTCACTTTTTCAGCTAAAATCGCTTGTAATTTGACACCCGATGACGTCATCATGACGTCAGGGTAATATGCACCACTAGGCATGAGGGTCGATATATATTGAAAGTTACAATTTATATCATGAACCGTTTACGAGAAAAGCCGCGGAGAAGTATTGTCCGCAAAAAAGAAAGAAAGATTTATCAGAACAATAACAGATAGTGGTCGGGTTGTGCCCGACCAACTCAAAGAAAGATTAATCGTAACAGATACAAAGAGTGGTCGGGTTGTGCCCGACCACTCAAACAAAAAAACACACGCCGTAATTTTTTGGACCCACTTTTTGGGGGACCCCTTTTTTTTTTGCCCCCCCCCCCAAAAAAAATGTGTTCTGGATCCGCCCTTGTTCTAAAGTAGCATTTTGGGTATCAGGGGGACAATCTTAACAGTTAAGTCCAAAAAACGGCGCTTGTGCGCGACATGTTAATTAAGCTCGAAATGTTGGACACTTGACCATGGTCCCCTGACCCCCAACTGACCCAGGGCAACTTAAGCATGGCCATTTCGGAATCACCCTCCGACGGGCAATCGATTGGTAACATCAAACCTTTTTGTGCTCAAATTGTTAATTAAACTCAACCTAGCTCCCGGTTTATTGTCATGACGTCATTTTCTTGGCGAGTCAGAAATAAATTTATTTGCATTCCCAAATAAATTTACTTTGTGTACATATATTTATGTAGTGTACTTTACAATACAATTCTTGCAGGTATAGCCAGGCCTGACATCAGTTGGCAGGCATTATTATTTTTTTCAATGAGGTATTGAACGAAAATCCATTGTTTATGTCTGTTTTGCATCCAAGTATGTAGATAAAATGCAGAAATGTATTTTGGCCTCCATACTGCATAAGAAAACGCATCACAAAATAGTGTTGACTCAGCATGACTCAGTACTTTTTAAATGGTGGCTCCCACGGCCGTCAAGGGCCAGATCTGCGATGCTCCATTATCCACATTTGTTGATAGATAGTAGTCTACCTCTGTGCCACATTTGGCTCTGTTATCATAAAATGCACACTAGGTTTGCTATGCCACCCACTATACAGCCGATTTGAGTGATCTAGGGATAGGGTAAGCAAATATGGCTATAGCGAGCACAATGCTCAAGACAGAAAGCTTATCTACCACTCAAATTAAAGCTTGAGTCTCGGGCAGTTTTTTAGGTACACAAACAATATGTGCATCTTAAGAATAAGTATGAGCTTCAAACTCAATTCTGTCCCCAAATAGGGCAAAGTCACATGAATTGGTGGCAATCCTCGAAGCAATATACCCCCAAGGAACACGAATACGGATAAACTTGGGACCAACCGTGTTTTTTCTTGTTTACCCATCCTATCAAGATGGTAAAAAGTGCAAACAGGTCACAATGGGACCATTTTGAGGAGAGCACTGTCCGAAAATATGATTTTATCTGTTTTTCAATAATTAAGCTTAAAAAGTAACAGTTTTTTTGAGCTGGAAGGCAAAAATACCGGCTGTGCAACATAAGAGCACCATTTTCGGATGTCCTAAGGTATCCTACAGAAAATAATATTAAGATTAATCAGAAATTTTGCGATTAAATGGCCTTATCCCTGGGACGAAAACCCCTTCCACATTCCAGCGGCGGTATTCCACCGAGGACAGTTCACCGACGGTATTTCACTGAGGATAACTGGTGATGTGGCCAACCTCTGCAGGGACTGGACACCATCGAGGCGGCACGCTACATTAATCAAACCAGCCTGACGTAGGAGAGCTGGCACGACACGTCACAATAACTTCACACTCTCCTAATCGTAAAAATGCGTTACGGAACTTAGTGCGTCTATTAAACTAAATCGATTTGTGCATTGACGTTAATTATAAGTGTTTTGTACATTATGGTCATCATAGTGTCTCACATCTCCGTCATAGGTACAGTTCCTACGGTTTTTGGGTTTTGTTTTCGAGATCCAGGGTCGAACATTTCGACAGTTATTTTGGGCGAACGCTACGCTCGATCTTTACGGTTATGGTGTTCAGAAGCCGTAACACGACAAATAAGACTAAGTTAAAAGCGGTTTCGGCATGACAAAAAAAAATGTCTCTACAAAAATATCGCACCTACCTTTCTTACAGGAGACATGGACCGCATCCAGTTGGTCTCGAAAGACGTCCAGTTGGCTATATAACGGACGCAGAGCTGCTTCGAGACACGAATCGCAGTTACTGTCGGCGTGTGTGGTTGCAGCAAACAGGCAGCACTGGACCACCACGGCAAAAACAGCTATCAGAAGGCACTTCATCTTGATCATCAGAGACACACACTGTACTCGAATCAGTTGCAGAATCGCACTTATGTAGGTATACAATTATGTGGTCAGCTAGTTTGGAGAAAACGTTGGTTCTTAGCATGTCATTTTTACAATAAATGACAATGCAAATAATGATGAATGGGTAAGCTACTAATGCAACAGCTGGAATTTCAAGTCCCACTGAGTAGTTGTGTCCAATTTAGAAGCTTATGATGTCTAACACCTGCTCATGTAATATGACCCACTGGGCTTGTCTTTGGTGCGTGTCTGTATGTATTTGTGAGGAATTTTCTCAATTTTCTTTAATAGTGCCAAAAAAATATGTAATTCAACCAACTGACTTCTTACTATTGATATTACATTTGTATTTACATATAGATTTCCTGGAACAGATCATTTGCACTTCATCCATCGTTGGCGCCACCGATACGACTACCCCATCTGTGCTGTTGATCTACCGACCTCCCTTATTAGTGTGGCAATTACAACACATAACATGCTATAGTCCGGCAGCCAGAGGGATGAACTGTGTTTTGTTGGATATTAACATATATTTCTTCTTGCATATTCTATGCAAGGAGATCAAACTTTTGTAGAATTTGAATGATGACACCTTCTCAGGGTTGGGCAATGTTGGATATCGATTATTTATTTACTGATATGTTATCAATACATATGGTGTGCACGCAGTTAAAACAAACACAAAAACTCACAAATGTTAATATAGATGTCCCACATTTACCTGTTAAGAGGCATGAAGCATAATAGCCGTAAAAAGTGGAGGAATTGGGTGAGGAGTGGTTAGGGTGCGGCCTAGAGCGTGGCTATGGCATACACAAGTTTAAATGAACTTTAACACTATAAATCCACAAACTTCAGGTAAGGATTCATTATGTTGTCATTTTAAATCCAATTCCATGTAACATTACATGACTTTCTGAGACAGATTATTGAGGCTGCATTGGGGGCGTGGCCTGAGGAGATAATAAGTGTTGAATCAAATGTTACATTAACATTATTCGATTCCAAGTTCCATGTCGATTTGTTAAGACCAATAAGCATGATTGTACTAAAACTGCCTGTGTAAGCGTGGGTGTGTAAACACCGGCAATCGTGGACGTAGGACAAAAGAATTGGGGCGCAAACAATACGTCCACGATTGACCGAACGTCCACGATCTCAAATCGTGTACAAAACCAATGAGAGCTGTCGCTAAAGAGTTTGAGTACAAACAAAGGAAAGAGGATTAGGGACAATGGGGCGTCCACGATTGCCGGCATTTACACACGTGTGTGTGTGAGTGGGGTAGCCATACAAACAAAGTACAAACAAAGGAAAGAGGATTAGGGACAATGGGGCGTCCACGATTGCCGGCATTTACACACAAAGCCAATCCTCGGAAGCATAGCAAAAAACGACGGTGTGTGTGTGTGTGTGTGAGTGTAGGAAGCCATTACATTCACTGCGTGGACTTCCGAACAAAAGAAGTCCACATAAACCAAGTAGAGACGACGTTGTGTGGACTTGGGCAAGTCCAAATAGTGTTTTCCTAGTTCTGGAAAACAGGTTTAGAGGCATTTTTTGGTTAGGTTTATCCGTGGTAAAATGAAGGGAAACACTAAAGGGGATCATAGAAAAAATTAAGTTGAAAGAGTTTTCACAGTTTGAGAAAAAGAGGTTTTTTTTTCACTGGTTTTTCTTCACTACATGAAACCAAGGGAATGTCCCAACTTGGTATGTAACGTAAACATGCGAGTGTGCAGAATAGTCCCATGTGTTTCATTGCACGCTACGGTATTTCCGTAGGCCCCCCATTTTTCGTTTGTTTTAGTATCATCGGTTTTCCACAGAGCTAAGTGTTGTGTATAACGTCTGATATTTCGAAACATGCAGATATATGCAAGCAGCGCGCCAACCAATCGGAGTCGACTTTACTAAATAGTAAGGTAATTTCACTCCCAACTCAGGACTAATGGTTTGATTGGTCAATTTGAATGCAGTGTTTTGTAATACAACAGCCGGGTGCTTATTGCGTAAATGATACAGAGCGTGTGACATTTTTTTTATCCATGTCTATGACGCGCAAAGGGTGAATGACCGAAGACCCGATGTAAAAAACGCCCGCTGGTTGGTCAAAATCTTAAAGGTCAAGAAGCAATACCTTGCAATATTATCGGCGAATCTGTTCATATGTAATTTATTACATAGACTAATTTCTAGTAGGCCCCGAATTTTTCGAAGGCCCTAGGCACAGTGTGCCCATTAGGTAATCCGAGCCTGGGTGGGACCAGTCAGTGGCCGTGTCACGCATACAACCTTTTTTGACCTCAGTTTCTTGTCCCAAGGTCATGCACACAAGGTCCAAAAGCCTACGCGAGATTTTACGAGACTGTATTCGAGACTACAGAAAAACAAAAACAGTTCTAGATACACGCACTGTTTGGCCAAGTTGGCGACGTTACGACGTTACGACGTGTCAAACAAAAGTCATACTTTATAGCAACACAAGTGAGGGCGTTTGTTTTTAGGTGTACATTCTACTCTTAGGAAAGCAGGAAGAAATGGCAAGGTTTCAGTAGAAAGATAGTGTACGCTTCATTAATATGTGAAAAACGTGCAGGAGACTTTTACATTTTTGGTCCAAATTGTTGGTTTAGAAATGAAGACTTTTGCGAGGTTTCATGATATGCAATCACATGTACGCGTGTAAACATTCGTAAGTACCGACGTAGGTACGTAAAGCCTTATGGTTGCTACGGCAAAGTGTCGGTCGTTGTAGAGGAAAGCTAATCCGATTACGTACTAAGACACTGTAACAGAGCATCGAAATTCGTGAACCCCCCAAAAAGATGGCCTTTTGAACGTTGGGTTTCTCAGAAAATATGCTCGTTATAATTGCGATGTCACATTCTGACTGAAGAAGAAATTTTAAACTTCATGTCAGTGAAAAAAATCGCCGTAATCGATGCCGAAACGTCAATACTGGTTACTGTCAAAGCTGACCATCAAGTCCGGAAGAAACCGTTCGAAAACTTCCCCAACTGTATGCATTTATCCCAATTTCTAGAAATTGACCTAAGTTGTTATTTCACGAGTAATTGAACACTTAAATAATCTAAGTATATTGAGAATATCAGCTAAATCTGTTGTTGCAGACGCTAGTGTTACACTTTGAACCATCTCTAAGGAAAATTTTGAAGACGATGTACACAATTATTTGCCGACCCAACCTATGTGCATTGTTCAGCAAAGCGCCGCAGGCGCTACGACTGACCGATTTTGGCTCGGCACACAATGATGACGGGCATATTAACATATTCATTAGCGTCGCTCGGCGTGACATGGCTTGGGGTTCGGTTTCGACTAATGGAAGCTGGCAAAAAGGGTGACATTTGTTAATTAACAATTCGTGAAGGAGGCTTTTATGCAATTGTTTACTGGACACCATAATAGATAGGAACCTCATTAATATTCGTGAGGCTTGAAAAGATTGATAGATATTGCGCACGTCAGTGTTAAAATTTTCAAAATTGCATGAGGCCTATTTTTCCAATTTTAACAAAAGGTAATGAACATATCACGACGACTTTTAGCACATACTTGGATCATTTTAGGGGAAATAAATCCTGAAAATTGTATGAAGATACAGTCTTCCAAATGGGAGAATTTAATTTTCAAAGATTTCACCCACCAACGTGAACATGTCTGTGTACATGTAGTTTCATTCAAAATAAAGTGTGACGTAACCTTTAGAAATCGCAATATGGCTGCGCAGGCCTTGAAAGAAATTGTGAAAGCACGCGCGAACGTGCAATGAATGACTTAGGAATATTAAGCAGGCCATCTCGAGCTTGCTCAACCAATCAGTGCGCGTATGTGGTCACAAGGTCATACCGTGTCTGGGTCCCCCCCCCCTTACACGCCAAACAGCGAATGGGTTTTTACATGGTATTTGGGCAATTTTGGAGTAAAAACGACACCCAAATAGCAGGACCATTTTTCGAATAAAGTTTTGCCTGTTAGCCTACATGTGTGGATGTTTATATCCTACGTTTTAAAATTTCTTTCAAATGAACATCGTTTTATTCAAAGCGCGTTTTGTAGCCCATTTCGATTACTCAGGACGCGGTGTCCCTTTCAGCTTGAGTAACAATTTTATTAGGCCTTAGGCCTACGCTGTTATGCTGCATCCCGATTCATTTAATAAGAGGGAAACAAGCGTAGTATTATTTTCATTGTAAAGGTTTGTGAAGTAAACAGCTTTTTAACATTACGGGTTGTTCCAACCCTGAAATTGTGGGTGGATTAGCTTTTACTGAAACACATTCGGAAGCAGATTCTGGTCACCCCCCCCCCCTCCCCCAATCATGTGAGCTGTTCCACAAGTTATCGGAATCTTAATCTGCCTCGATATTTATTTATTATTTTATTTTATTATTATTATTATTATTTTTTTTTTTTTTGCAGTCAGACTCTACTCACATGTTGGTAAGGGCATGAATGGCTGACAGGATTTCTTGATTTCCTTCGCTGGGCTGCGACTGCATGCAAGGAGCTGTCTTCCTGAGACGTGTTACAAGAGTCAAATCATGCACGAGTGACAGGTGAAAAATTCAGTTAACAACACAAAGGTTCACTGCTTGACCGAGCCCGACCTAAAAGCGAAAGCTTTATGCAAGGGTCATTATATTGTGGACTGTAGACCATTAATTTTCATGTTGCGGCCATCTTTATTTTTCCCGGTCAAAACAGGGTAACCAAAGCGAGGCTGGAAGGAAAAACAGTCTGGTTACTTTTTGCACAAAATCAATATCATTCAGGACTGAAATGGCGGTAGCATGATAAAGGTACATATACATGTATATTGTGTTTGTACCATACTATCTATGACTATTGTTAGTATGTGGCCCAAGGAACGAGAATACGCACAGCTGCTTCGTAATGTTGGGCAAGTGTATAGCGCCCTCATGTGACGGATGAAGATGTGACATCCCCCTTTTTTTGAAAGTAAAAATGTAATTTTAAGAATAATCTTTTCCAAACTTGACATAAACAGTTCTTTAGAAAATAGAGAGGATGATTAAATAAATGATTATAATTG